CTACTGAGGAAGGGTCTCTAATAAGTCCAAAAGTCCGTTGACATATTCAGCAATCTCCCAGGAACTCAGAGCAATCAATCCAGGGAGAGACCCCCTCCACCAAGGATAACCTCAGGACAAGAGCCCCAAGGCAGGGGACATTCTCACCTCACCCAGACCCTCCCTGCCCAGGCCACTGGCCCATGGTACCCCCCGCATCCAAAGCCAGGACCCCCATGGACACTCACAGGCAGGAGGAGCGCATGCCACACCAGGACATTGGCATCATCACAGTACAGGTGCTTCAGGTAAGTCGGAAGCTCCTGTTGCAGATCCTCCAGCTCCTGGAAGAGGCAGTTGAGTGGTCAGTGGGTCTGGTACTTACTACCTCAGCCCCCGCCCCCGCCCCAAGGGCAAGCCATTCTGGGAGCAGAACCTGGCAAAGTTAAAGCCCCCACTTACTGAGCACGTAGCATGTATGCCACATGGCGCTGTGTGCTTTAAAACATCTGATTTTGGCCTCACCACGACTCTATGGGTACTAGACATAGGAGTAGGTGATCACTTCTTCCAGGTATTGAGACTTGGGAACAAATGTCTTAGGAACCTTTATTTCCTGAAATCCAGGTACTTAATCCTGTCCTATTATGTGTGGATTCATAATAAGAAAGACAGAGAAGCAGGGAGGCTCCGCAAAGGGTGCACACTGTGAGCCAGGCTGTGCCGAATAAATAGGAGTCCGCCATGCAGAGAAGGGGACAGGCACCAAGGCGCAGGGCCTAGACTAGGCAAATGTGGATAGGTGTCCCATGGAAGGTTAATGGTGATTACAGGAAAAGGGTTCCACGGTCAAGTATATTTGGGAAAACTAAGCAAAACCGCTTCCTTCACTGCAGGACTTCTCAGAGCCTTTAGAATGCTATGGTGTGTTGTGACTCTCCAAGACGTGAGCCCCAGCATGCTCCACTTCTCAAAGGGCACTGCCCAGTCCTTTGGGGGATCCATCCCATGGGCCTACAGAGCCTTTCATTTGGGAAAAGAGGGGATAAAACAAATTCAAGGGCAGGTCATATTTCACTGGAAAGATGAATGGGTGGTTTTCCACTAGGGCTGATTTTACCTCCCAGGGGACATTTGGCAATACCTAGAAACATTTTCCATTGCAATTTAGTGGGTAAAGATTAGAGATATTGATAAACAACTCTAAGAATTACCTGGTGGTGCTAGGGGTATAGCTCGGTGGCTTGCCTAGCATGCGCACAGCCCTGAGTTCAACATCCAGCACTTAAAAAAAAAAAAGTAATTTACCAGGTCCCAAATGTCAATAGTCACAAGGTTGAGAAATCCTTGTGTAAACAAAGGATTTGGAGAGAAAGTGCCAAACCCAGCCCACAGTTGAGGAGGGGTCCTTCACCACTATGTGGCCATCTGAACTTTCTTTCCCCCTGCCCAACAGAGACACGTTCTCCCGCCTCTCGTATCTCTCACCTGTGTTCCATGTCTGCCCAACAAACTGCTCCACCCAGACTCCATGACCTCATTTATCTTTACCCCAGACAATGGGCACATCATTACTACTATAAATCCTGCTCCTAGTATTGTCTGACTCTTTGGCAAGAACAAAGCCCAAGGCTGAACAGTCAAGATTTGCAATGGGCATGTTCTGTATCTTTCTATAACTGGGAACACATGGACTTTCTCTCTTTTAGGTGAGTTCTGCCAAAACTTTCCCAAAGCCCGAGGATGTTGAAACTCAAGCTAGGACAGTTCTTTCCCAAGACAGGCTGGGAAATCACCTGACTTAGAGGAACCGAAAATGAAAGTAGAGAAGCCACTGAACAAGCCTGCTGATTTCCTCCAAATTTCCAACTGTAAACATGTATTTTTTTAAACCAAATATTAAAAAAACAAAAAATGTTACTTGCGAATAAAATGAAACTTGGCCATAGGTACAAAAGAAAGAGAGAGAGCTAAACTGCTAGTTGAGGACCCATGACAGGAGCCTGGGCTCCAAGCTCAGTTCCATCATTCCTTACTGAATGACCCTGGACAGCTGAGTTATTTTCTCTCAGCCTCAATTTCTTCATCTGTAAAATGGAGCATTAGCTAAATGCAGTGGCACACTACTGCAATCCCACTACTCAGAAGGCTGACATAGGAGGATCATAAGTTTGAGATCAGCATCAACAACTTAGTGAGACCCTGTTTCAAAACATAAAGGGCTGGGGGTGTAACTCAGTGGTAAACCACCCCTGGGTTCAATCCCCAGTACTGAAAAAAAAAAGGGAGGTATTATTTATCTCACAGAGCTGCTAGGGGAATTAGATGAAATAACTTATGTAAATTGTCTGAGTTAATACCCCCCACCCCCACATCCCGAGTGCTTAAGACCACCAGTGACAAATACCAGCTCCAGTCTTCTCCCCACTTGGTGGGGAAGACCCTCTGCCCCATTTCACTGCCAGCCTTCAGATTTCACTTCTTCTGGGCTGAGCCTCCTCTGAGTGTACAGATGTCCCTTCCCGGCCTCTGACAAGAAAATGCTGTCTGCCCCTCTAGTGCATAGAGCATAGAGCATAGTGCATAGAGCAGAGGGGCACTTCCAGGAGCTCCAAAGGTTGGTGGGGGAGATGCCCATGTCACCTCACCAGAATTGCTCTTCCTCCCCCTCTCCCTCCAATTCTGGCCACACCCCAATCCTGCAAACACCCTGGATTTTCCCACCTCCTGGGGAAAATTGCTCCCTCCTCATCCTTCCAGATCTTACTTCAAGTTGTGTCCCTGTTAGGAATGAAAGTCCAAAGGGATAGGATTTTTGTTCGTCGCTGCCCCGCTACCTCTTAGCACAGGGTCAGCATATCCTAGATTTTCGACATCTGCCTAAAGAATGCAACCAGGCCACCTACTCCAGGAAGCCTTCCAGGGCTGCCTCCGATTCGTTTCTTCCAGAGAACACCCATAGATCGCTCCTACACACACACACACACACACACACACACACACACACACACACACACACACATCCTAAGCAGCATTCCCTGCCTTTCGGAACTCTGGTAATGTGGGTATCAAAGTATGGGATGGGCCATGGGCTATTCCAAGGCAAGGAGTTGGTTCTGGTTATCGCTGTTCATAAACCACCCCACAATCGCTGCAGCTGAGCGCCTGGCACCGAGAGCCTTTTCTGCATCCAGATGCACTCAATTGTTACAAGTTTCCAGGAAAAGTGAAACTGAAACCAGTTTGGGGGAACTGGCTCCTCGTCACCCCCAGTACAGCTCAGGAAGCTAGTGACATTCCCACCCCACAGGCACCCTCCCCACCCCAACCCCAAACTCCAGCTCTGGACCCTCTGGCAGACCCTTTCTTCTAGCGCGAGGGTGGGGATGCCTGGGATTCGGCCACCCCCGTACCCAGCCCAAATAAATAAATAAATAAATAAATAAACAATAAATAAATAAATAAGCGCTGGAGGAGCGGCGGAGGGGACGGCGGGAGCGGGGAACCGAGGGCCGCGAGAAAGGCGTCATCCCAAACGCGATTACCTTCGCCACTCGCTTGCTGGCGGTCATCTTGGCACCGAATCTGGGGCGCCCGCGGGCTCCGGCGCGGACACCGTGCGCCCCGCCCCAAGGGCCACACCTCCCGGGCCCCGCCCACGGTCCGCTCCACTTGGTCCCGCTCCCGGCTGTGTAGACCTGCTCCCACCTGCTCCGCAGAGACGCGGAGGGAGAAGTAGAGAGGACGCTCTGGCCGCGGCCGGGTCCCCGCGCGACGGTCCCGGAGCTGGGGAGCGCGCGCTGTTCTGGAGACCGGGCAGGTCCGCCTCAGATGCGCGGGGCTGCGGGGGTCCCTGCGCTCCGCTGGGGGGCGCCGTGCCAGGTCCGCTATCGCGCGGGAGCCGTCCCAGCCTGCAGCCGCGCCGTGGGCTCTCCGGTCTCCATCAGCCCCCCAAATGCACACTCGCCCTAAGAAAATACCGAATGATTGCTGTGCAAACGTTTCTCCGCGACAGGTCGCTTGGTGGCCTCCACCATCGGACCACCACCCTAAGTCCCTCCTACATCAAGAGTCCCAGAGTCCCTTGGCCAGTCCCCTGCCCTTCGTGCGCCCAGTGCCCCATTCTAAAACTAGGCGAGGGGTGTGGCTTAGGCTATATTCCCTCCTAGGATCGCTCCTTTGGCGCTGGGGATCCGTTGTGCTGTCCAGCCTTTGGTGACGCAAGTGCAAAGTTTATTCCGGACACCGCAAGAAGGCGCTGTTAGGGGGTTGCTTTTGTCAACCACTCAGTCCCTTACTAGTCTTACTGAGTAGTAAGCGCCTGTTGTATGCTGATTTGGGAAACAGTTGGATAGCCGAAGCCCCAAGACACGAAACAGCATCTGGAGATCTTCGTTGCAATGGTGAACTAGCTAGGAGCCCCCCCTTCCTCACCCCGACCCCCGTCAACCCAGAAGTCGGCTAGTTCCTCACATAGTTTTTATCTAAGTGTCTTAGAACCATACGACTTCTCTGCTAAGGTGTAGGGTGTATTGGCACAACAATTCTCTTTAATTCAATTCAATAAACTTGAACTGAACACTTTCTATGTGCTAGTCATGTGAACAATTCCTTAGCCTATGCCGATGAGGGAACCTAGGCATGTGAACACACCGTTGGTCAACAGTCTCAATTATCATGGGAACATGGGGTCCCTGTCCCTGGAGAAGCTCTCAGGCTGTTGGGACAGAGGGAGGGAATGCACCCTATTCACTTTTAATGATGCTGATAGGAGAATGACCTGGTTCTATGAGAGCCTGGAGAAGGCTCATGTGATCTCACCCCAGAATGGGGCAGAGGTTTCCTGGAAGAGAGAAAATTCCAAGAGTCGTGTGGAGCAGGATGAGTTAGCTAGAGTAAGAGCAGAGAGGGAAGGACTTGGAAGAAGAGGGAACAGCCCATGAGCAAAAGGGAGGTGCTGGTGTAGCTCAGGCTGAACGACTTCACAGTGTGGAGCTCAGGTCTCTATTTACACTCCTTGGCCCTCCTTCTCTTGCCTTACAGAAGTCCTGCATCCCCAAAGTGAATTTGTACTCATCCTGGGATGGGTCCTCAATCCCCCCAGTCTGGAGGCCCAGATGCATGGCCTTCATGCGCTTTCACAGTGCAGATCTTTGTGTCAGACCAAGCCCTGAGGACACCTGGGTCGAAGTTCCACATCTGCTCCACATGCAGCGTGTTCTCAGCTGAGCCATGGAAACTCCTACCTGCCTCCTAGGACCATTGTAGACTTAGCTCACAGACACAGGGAAACTCTGAAAATGACAAATTGAAGCTAAAAATAAAAAAGTTTGAATTCCACTATTATTGGTGGAATAACTTTAGGCAAATTACTTAGCCTGCCTGTGCCTCTATTCCCAAATGGGTAAAATGGGGCTATTAACAGTGCATATGAGGAACAATGAGTTGGTATTTGTAAATAATTTAATTCAGGGCCTCGGGATGGAGGTCCATGGTGGAGCACTTATCCAGCACATGCAAGGCCCTGGGTTCCATCCTCAGCACTGCAAAACAAAAACTTAAAACTTAACTGAAAAAAAAAAAAAAAGAGCTTAATGTAGAATGCTGGACCATAAATGACAGTCATAACCATAATAATATAATAAATAGTGCTAGGGCTGTGGCTCAGCGGTAGTGCACTTGCCTGTCATGTGTGTAGCACTGGGTTTGCTTCTCAGCACCACATATAAATAAATTAGATCTATCAACAAATAAAAAATATTTTAAAATAATAATAATATAATAAATAGTAAAATAATAGATGCCTCCCAGGAGTGCATGAGCAGGGTTGGAGAAGAGCTACTGAGCTTACTTGCTTAATAATACTGCTTTCCGGGCTGGGGATGTGGCTCAAGCCATAGCACGCTCGCTTGGCATGCGTGCGGCCCGGGTTCGATCCTCAGCACCACATACCAACAAAGATGCTGTGTCCGCCGAGAACTAAAAAATAAATATTAAAAATTCTCTCTCTCTCTCAAAAAAATAAATAAATAAAATAATACTGCCTTCCTTAATAGGAGACCCAGTGCCGTTGGGTGTAGTGGTGCACGCCTGTAATCTCAGATGCTCAAGAGGAGGAGGCAAGAGGATTGAGAGTTCAAAGCCAGCCTCAGCAACTTAGCAAGGCCCTAAGCAACTCAGTGAGACTCTGTCTTTAAGTAAAATATATATTTAAAAAAAAAAAAAAAGAGGGCTGAGTAGGTGGTTAGCACCCCTAGGTTCAATCCCTGGTACAAAAAAAAAAAAAAGAGGAGACCCATGCTTCTTGGCATTTATTTAGCCATTCAACAGAATGTGCTGAGCACCTACTTATTCAAGTGCTGTGTTGAGCACTCCTCGGGACCTAGGCAGGGGGGAGGCCCACTCTGTATCTTCCCTATCCAGCAGAAGAGACATTTCATTCGTAGACAGCAAAAATGAAGGAGAAGGGATTCCAGGATGGACTTTTCAAGACTCTGCTTTGCCAGCTCCAGGCCTTGCCTATTTATTTCGAGCATACAATGGGATCCTGTAGGTGAGGGCCACCCTCTAGGTTCCAAAGCACTTTATTTATTTATAATGCAGTGTTCTAAGCAAAAGGGACTTCTTCAGAAGTCTCCCTGAACCTTCTGTGAATTTTGAGAGATGGATTTGAGCTAGTAAGGAGCAGGTGATTTTCTGTTTATAATTTTTTTTATTACTGATTAATTGATTGATTTAATTTTGGTACTGGGGATTGAACACAGAGACACTTTACCACTGTAATACATCTCCAGTCTTTTGTTTTATAATCTTTGAAACAGGGTCTCACTAAGTTGCTGGGAGTTTTGCTTAGGTACTGAGGCTGGCCTCAGATTTGTAATTCTCCTGTCTCGGCCTCCCAAGTTGCTATGATTATAGGTATGTGCCACTGCGTCCAGCTAGGAGTAGTTAATTTTCTTACAGACCTGTTCTCTGGGTTTGATCCTGTTGAGGGTAGGGAGAGTTCATCTCAGAACTACCTCAGCCCGTCCTTTCTCCCCAGGGCCCAAAGAAGCTCAAAAGGAACCAGAGGCAGAGAATGTTCTGCTTCTTTGATTAAGGAAGGGACCTCCTCCTCCTGATCATCTCATACCCCAAAAATTTGCACCCCAGAGAAGGCAAGTCCTGCCTTAAGATTAAAGAAGAGAGGGTTGATCAGCCAGGAGGCAAAACCCCAGGCTACTGACTCAGGAAACCTGCTTCCTTCACCTGGCTCAACCAGTCAATTACTTGCTTGCTGCAGGACTTTGGACAAGAGAGGTAACCGTGACAACAGTGATTACAACAATAACTATGTCTATTTGACGTTTCAGGAAGTGTTAGTTTACTCAGTCTGCTATAACAGAAGACCACAGGCTGCCTTTGACTCATGCAACGTGATATGCACATCTGAGTCCTTGCTTGCTCTTTTTCTTTTTCCCTTTTTTTGTGGTTCTGAAATCAAACCTTGTACATGCTATAGGCAAGAGCTCTACCACTGAGCCACACCAACCAGCAGGCCTTTTTACTTTTGGGGACAGGGTCTCACTATGTTCCCCAGGCTGGCCTCAGACTTGCAATCCTTCTGCCTCAGTACCTCCTGGTCACTAGGATTACAGGCATGCACCACTGTGTACCCCTTCCTTGACTGGTTTTAAGGTGGGCTCTAATGTCCCCTCCAATTCTGTCTCTGGGCCTCCTCCAACTCAGGCAGAGCTGCCAATGATTAGTCCCAGGATTAGTGGGTGAATGTTCATGATTAATGAGTAGAATTAAATCCTTAACTGGTGTCCATATTGTACATGCGTGAGTCAGGATTTTACCTTTGACTAAGGCTTATCTTTGAATAGTTATAGACTAGCCTGGGAGAATGCTTAAGAAATAGGTGAGTGTTTTTGTTTTGTTTTTATGGTGCTGGGGATTGAACCCAGGGCCTCAAGCATACTGAGCATACACTCTACCACTGAGCTATATCCCCATTCCCAGTAAAAGTGATTTAATAGTTTGGAAAGGGAAACTGAGTGTCTTAGGAAAGAAGTAGGAAGAGACCTACTGTCCACCGATTTGCACTGTTAAAATTTCCTATGAAGCTGGGTGTGCTGGCACGTACCTGTAATCTCAGCAACGCAGGAGGGCTGAGGCCTGAGTATCACAAGTTCAAGGCCAGCCTGAGAAACTTTAATGAGTCCCTCAGCAACTTAGTAAGGGCCTGTCTCAAGATGAAAAATAAAAATGAGGAGCTGGGGATATAGCTCAGTTGGTAGAGTGCTTGCCTCTCATGCATAAGGCCCTGGGTTCAACCCCCAGCACCACAAATAAATAAATAAGTAATTAAAATAAAAATGGGTGGGGATGTAGATCAGTGGTAAAGCATCTCTAGATTCACTCCCCAGTAACCACCACCCCCCCAATTTTTTCACATGATAATTTTTTCATCATTTTTTTTATTTTTTAAAAATGTTTTTAAATTTTTCATTTTCAATCGACACATAACAATGATACATATTTATACTTACGATATAGAGTATGATAATTAAAACATGTATATAACATGTAATGACCAAGTCAGAATAATTAGCATTTCCGTTACCTTAAAAATTAACCAATTCTTTGTGTTCTATGAACTCTCTTCTCATAAGTTGCTATAAAGTATAGTCACCCTAGAATAGGTGTTATAGAACCCTTGGAATTTATTCCTCTTATCTAATTGTATTTTCATACCTGCTAGCAACCTATGTCTATTTCTCCTCCTGCTACCCTTCCTAGTCCCTAGGAATCATTATTCTACTCTCCACTTCTATGAGGTCAACCTTTTTAGTTTCCATTTATGACTAAGAATATGCAGCATCCGTCTTTCTGTGTCTGGCTGATTTCACTTAACATGTCCTCCAGTCACACAGTAAAATTGGAATCGAACTTTTAAGTAAAGAAACTACTCACTCAGAACTATAAGCAAATACAACATATTTAAAGAAAATTAATTAAAATGAGAGAAATGAAAATAGGAAGTGTAATCTAGTGATTAAGAGCATGAGATTGAAGGTCAAGCAGACCTGAATTTAAAACTCTAATATTTTAAACAAATTGATTAACTGCTCTAAGCATTAGTTTATTTGTTGGATGGAGA